ATTTGTTTATCAAAATAAAAGCATATTTCATATAACCAAGTACCTTATTAAAGTAGTAATTACATTTTCTGTGTTTCTGATTGACTCTCAACTCTGCAGAGATACTCAAAGGGTATAGAGCAGTTACAATGCCCTCAGAAGAAGATAAGAAAAGCCAAAGATCTATGTATACCCAAATAGAGGCTATAGCTGACATGAAATTTACATATGTTGCAACCTGTCAGAACTATGGAAACCAAAAGAGAAGTGGAGATCGTCGTGCGACTGATATTTTGAATTTGATGGTCAAGTAAGTTTTTTCTTTCTGGACATTGGATATTGTGATTCGGTCCCTTGATTTCTTAATCCATGTGTTTATATGTTAATAATGTCTTTTTTTTTGGTTTTCTCATTTAGCAATCCATCTCTTCGTGTTGCATACATTGATGAAGTTGAAGAAAGGGAAGGTGGAAAAGTGCAGAAAGTTTATTACTCTGTATTGGTAAAAGCCGTTGATAATCTTGATCAGGTATAACCATATTTTATCCACAAAATATCACCGTGCTGATTCTCTTGTTGCTTCGAGTCTGACTATATTTTGGTTCATGATGAAGGAAATCTATCGCATAAAACTACCTGGTGCAGTAAAGTTGGGAGAAGGAAAGCCTGAAAATCAGAACCATGCTATCATTTTTACTAGAGGGGAAGCTCTGCAGACAATAGATATGAACCAGGTAAAACCTCAGAATTTTGAACCCGTAATAATTTAGATTGAGTCAGAAAACATAATAAACTTCCTTCTATAGGACAACTATTTGGAAGAAGCTTTTAAAATGCGCAACTTACTTGAGGAATTTAATGAGGATCATGGGGTGCGGCCACCGACAATTCTTGGTGTTCGTGAGCATATCTTCACTGGAAGGTAAGAATATCATGTTACGTAGCTTAGTTCAACTTGTTTCATCCCAAATTTTTCTTATCTAACACAATCTTAACATGAACAGTGTTTCGTCCTTGGCTTGGTTTATGTCAAATCAAGAAACAAGCTTTGTCACTATTGGTCAAAGAGTTCTTGCGAGGCCCTTGAAGTATGTTCTTTCTCACATCAAAGTGCAAGTTCTTTTGTATCTATTATCTAAACGTCTTCCTTACTGTAATTGTGGTCATTTGCCATCAAAGGAGTAGTAGTTTGCGTATCTATTATCTAATGTGGGATAGACGGTCAAGTGAAATTTTATTACCTTTGAGTCTTGCCAAATGAAATTTTTGGATGGGGGTAGATAGATATCCACTTAAATTGCAAGTGTAATAATCCCATGCTTGGAGATGAAATGTTTTCCCTCTTCTTGGAAGGTCCTCATACCATTTTCCAAGACAATTTCTCACATCTTTTCAGATGCTTTTCTTGTAGACTGTTATATATTTTTCTGATGCCATTTTCTTTAGAGGACAAGAACGAACGTACATGTGTATGGATATACTTTGATGAATGTATATATAAATTTTTATTGAGCTGTTTCCCCGATTTTTGTTTCTTCTTTGTTTGCAACTTGTTAGATAAACCTTAATTTCTTCTCTTGAAATGGGTTGGACTAGGGTTCGATTCCATTATGGACATCCTGATGTGTTTGATAGAATTTTTCACATTACCCGTGGTGGTATCAGTAAAGCTTCAACGGGCATCAATCTCAGTGAGGACATATTTGCCGGTGAGTTTCCCAAATTTTCTGACTTCGTTATCTAGATTCACAATTGTTTTCCAGTGGAAAGTGACATTAATGGTACATTTAAAGAAAGAAGGTTGACAGAGAATGATATTTCCATGATATTTGTTGTATAGGTTTCAATTCTACGTTACGACGCGGGAACATCACTCACCATGAGTATATCCAAGTTGGGAAGGGTCGAGATGTTGGTCTCAACCAGATCTCGCTTTTTGAGGCAAAGGTGGCATGTGGTAACGGGGAGCAGTCGCTCAGCAGGGACATATACAGACTGGGGCATCGTTTCGACTTTTTCCGTATGCTGTCGTGCTTTTACACAACCACTGGATTCTATGCCGGCTCCATGGTAAGTTCAGGATACTGGTAGATATAAACCTGCATTGACACATGATAGTATTGTCTTTTAGGAATTCATAATGAAAATGTTGATCAAAATTAGTAAAATTGTTTCGCTGTGAACGTTTATTAATTAGAAAATTTATCTAACTTGTCTAGAAATATCAGAGGGATGAACATCTTTTTCTGCGGAAGTGTCTTTCCTGCTTAATAAATTCTAGAGGTACTATTTATGTGAATTTGATCAAATAATGTTGGCCTCAACTTAAGAGGGCAGGAAAGGTTTAGGAGGAGGAACGAAACACTTTTCCTACCGTACATGGTGGCCAATTATTCTGAATAATTGTGTGTGGGTCAAGTATCTTCTCTTCTAAACAATTTCTGTTTTCATGTTGATTAACGAAAGCAGTGACTTTTATATTTTACCACTTGGCATTGTGCACTGATAATGGCTGATAACGGCATTGTGCACTGAATATATTTGTGAGATTAGAAGTTTGGAGAAAGGGAAAGGTCTATACTTTTTCTGTCTTCTAGACAAAATGCAATACGATGATCCGGTGAATTATCTCTGAGACATGATTTTCTACATTGGGATATGTCTAAATCATGTAAAGTGAAATTTCAGAACCAAGTACTATTTTCTGACTTGCATTTTTCAGTCTTGTGAATTGAAGCACTTTACAAAGTTCTGATTGTCCACGCAAGATAACCTTAAATTTTGTTTAGTGTACGTGCTGGAAGACAAACAATTCTTAGAGTACTGTATCTCTGTGATAAATTTGTAGAGTAATTGAAAAATCTGGTTTGAGATATCTTATTGGTTGTCCTTTACCGGCTGACATGGGCTTTTTCTTCAAAACTGCACAGCTGGTGGTCCTTGCTGTTTATGCTTTCTTGTATGGAAAGCTCTATCTTTCGCTCAGTGGATTGGAGCAGTCCATAATTAAATTTTCAAGATCCAGGAGAGATAATGCTTTGAGGACTGCAATGGCTTCACAATCTATTGTTCAGATTGGGTTTTTGACGATGTTGCCGATGGTCATGGAGATCGGTCTAGAGAGAGGGTTTAGAACTGCAGCTGGTGACGTAATAATCATGCAGCTCCAGCTTGCACCTGTTTTCTTTACTTTTTCTCTTGGGACGAAGGTGCATTATTTTGGGCGTACCATTATACATGGAGGGGCTAAATACAGAGCTACTGGTCGAGGCTTTGTCGTAAGACATGAGAAGTTTGCAGAAAATTACCGGATGTACTCGAGAAGCCATTTCACGAAAGCACTGGAGATTATGGTTTTGCTCATAGTTTATGAAATCTATGGATCAGCGGCTACGGGATCTGCTGCTTTCCTTTTTCTAACATTTTCAATGTGGTTTCTTGTGGTCTCGTGGTTGTTTGCTCCTTTCCTTTTCAATCCATCGGGATTTGAGTGGCAGAAGATAGTGGAAGACTGGGATGATTGGATGAAGTGGATAGGTAACCGTGGAGGTATTGGTGTTCCAGCAAACAAAAGTTGGGAGTCCTGGTGGGACGAGGAGCAAGAGCACCTGCAACATACAGGTTTCTTAGGGAGATTCTGGGAAATTTTCCTTTCCTTGCGCTTCTTCCTCTACCAGTATGGTATTGTTTATCATCTACATGTGGCAAATAATGAGAAAAGTATCATGGTAAGTGTGAGAACGAGCCATTGGACTGTGTGGTTTCTTTCTTCTTCCAAAGATACATCTTAGCTTTTGACTTGCGATCTAACATGCACTAAATGTCTATTTTCTTTTCTTTATTTTTTTCCCCGCTGCATTACAGGTTTATGGACTGTCTTGGCTGGTCATTGTTGCGGTGATGATTATTCTGAAGGTTAATTAGTGCACTCTAAGATCCTCCTCTTCATTGAAACAATTCATTTTTCTCCAAAGATTGATTGTCTTTCCATGGTCGATGAAATTCTATATATATAATTTTTTACAGATAGTGTCAATGGGAAGGAAGAAGTTCAGTGCAGATTTCCAGTTGATGTTTAGACTTCTGAAGATGTTCCTGTTTATTGCGTTTCTGGTGACCATTGGCATAATGTTCACTTTCCTCAGTCTTACGGTTGGAGACATTTTTTCCAGCTTATTGGCTTTCTTACCAACAGGATGGGCTCTACTTCAGGTGCATATCGCTTCTTAGGTCCATTTATTTGCGCGCGCGCGCGCACACACACACACACTCTCTCTCTCTCTGTGGAATCAATATGACTGGTGTTATATTTCATAGAGACAACTTAAATTTGAAAGACTAAAGTAATTTGATTTTCGGGTGCAGATAGCACAAGCGTGCAGGCCTATTGTGAAGGGCTTAGGGATGTGGGGTTCAGTCAAAGCTCTAGCAAGAGGGTATGAATACCTCATGGGGCTGGTGATCTTTACACCGATTGCCGTTCTAGCCTGGTTCCCGTTTGTCTCAGAATTCCAAACCAGACTGCTCTTCAATCAAGCCTTCAGCAGAGGGCTTCAAATTCAGCGTATTCTTGCTGGTGGAAAGAAGCACAAATGAGCAAAAGACTTTAATATGATCATACTACTTCCGATTTTGTAGGACCTTTGCCAGCCGGATATGACACCGGCCCTGAAGGCGAAGCTTCATTTAATTAGCAGAGATTTTTGAAGGCACAGGGATCAATCAATCATGTATATTCTCATTTCCTGTCAACATCATAGCCAAATATATGTGTTATATTCAATATATCTGCTCTTTGATCGCTCTTCGCTTTGCTCATTAGCTTTCCTCATTTCCAACGTGATATAGAATTCTAGCACTCTCAAAAAAAAAAAAAAAAGAAGCAAAACTGCAGGTGGCTAATTAAAACTGGAACATCCAGACGTGCATGAGGAGAAAGCAAGAATGGGAAAAGAAGAAGGAAAACATGAAACAAATCTCCCCAAAAAAAAAAAAATCATAAGGAATTTAAAGGACATTACAAACTCCAAATCCCATTTACTGCAAGAGTTAAAAATCTAGTAAACAACAAGTTCTAGATAGAAAACAGCACCAGTTGGAAATGTTGGGAGAACAATATTCAATTGGACTGGAAACCTTTCGAGGAGGCGAATTTGCCATCAAAAAAGGACATCAATCGCTGTTCAAAATCATCCTCTTGCTGAACGTTGCTTCTGGAAGAACCAACTCCGCTAGCAGAAGGAGAACTGAAACCCATATTTTCTGCATCGCCAGCTCCTTTAAAACTTGCATCTTTACCAAGATTTGGATTTTTCCTCAAGTAGTCTTGAAGAATTGCTAAAGATGATTCACCTCCCAGGCTGCTGGTATCCGTATGATGGGGAACTTTTGCCATAGAGAAGAAAGGGCTTGTTTGAGCCGCTTTGATAGTTGATGTACCAGCAGAAAGAAGCTGATTTGTGGGATTTTTGGCATGATCTTTGCTCAGAGCTGAAAGATGAAGAGAAGCTGCTGGTGCGGAACTTTGGCCATTTGCAAGAGGCTGTTGAGCTGAATAATGGTTCCGAGTGTTGAATGAATGAGTAAACTTGGCCATGCTCTCTAAAAGATTAAACAAAAAAGGACAAGATTAAGGAGCTCTAGTTTTTCTCTATACACGTTTGTATTTTTGTGGGCTTAATTAGTGTTAAAAGAATAATCTTGAATTCAATTTTTAAAAATTTTTTAAATCATTTTTTATTACAGTTTAATTAGTAGGGTCCTTTAGACTGCATATTAAGCAACAATCCATCCTTCTGTCGTGTTTATTTTGGCTTTTATATATAGCATAATAATTTTCAGGCTTCATAGGAAAGGACACAACATCTTCTCTAGACACATAGCATTAATTTTAAATGCATGCATTACTATGCCAAAAAAGAAAAAATTACACACACTCACACAGAAGAGTTGAGGTTGTGTGTACACATTTTCAACACTTTACATGAATATGGGGTTTTATGCTTAAATGTAAATTGCATACAGCAAAAATGTAACTGTTACATGGAAGCAATGATGACTGGAAAGATAATAGTTCTACTACTAAGTAATCCATAAGTTTATTTTCTTGAGTTACAAGTGTCTAGGGTACGTACTTTTCAATTTGGGTCATAGTTTTGTTTTCTTTATTTGAAGATGAAACTCCAATTTCACTTGTTTCTACTATAACAAAGTTGCATTTATCTTATTTGCTCATTTGGACATACTAATCATTGAGTATGGAATGGATTCCCTAATTTTTTTTATATCTTGATTTAAGGATCAAAAGAGCAGTGCTTCTCGTATGGGACATGGAAAAAGTATTACTAGCTTGATCAAGCTTACCTATAGGTCCAGTGCCAAATTTGCTGCTATAATCCATTATATCTTTCATAGAGCTGAAGATTTCTGATGTCTACAAACCACAAAACATAGATACATCAAGGTTAAACATGAAGAGGCAATAGCTATCTCATTCTCTACTCCATTCCATAATATAAAAGGGCCATAAGCATGTAAAAAGAAACCATTTTACGAAAATAGACAGAAATTGATTCTCATAAACAACTAAGAATATCTAAAAACATATCTGTTTAATTTTGAATCCATGTTAAGTTCCTTACAAAAGATGAATAATGACAGTTTGTAAGACAATAAAGGGTAAATTACACTTTACCCCCCTATGGTTTAGTATTTTTTATACATAATCCCCCTCTATGGTTTCAAAAGCTATACATAACTCTCTTATGATTTAGATTAAAGTGTCAAAATAACGAAATTTGCAATCCATAATAGAGTTACCTAAAATATAAAAAAATCCCTATGTAAAGTTGAAAATTATTTATTAAGCACACAGGGGGGGTTATGTGTATATTTTAAAAATCATAAGGGGGTTATATGATAAATTACTAAACAATAAGAGGGTTATATAGTAAAATATAAAACCATAGGGAGTTAATGCGTCATATATATTACGTTTATATATTTTGGTCACTTCAATTATTTTAATTTTTAAATAAGGGTAATTTTGACATTTTTAAAAGTTCCGTTACGAATGATCATTTTCATCACTTTGATACTTTAATCCAAATCATGGGGGGTTATGTAATAGTTTTTAAAACCATAGAAGGGTTATGTCCAAAAACACTAAACTATAGGGGGTAAAATGTAGTTTGTCCGAAAATAAAAGCCACCAAGGGCTTACCTTATTTATGCTGAAAAAAGATGAACGGAAAAGCTTTACCATAAATATGAAATTAAACTTTTTGCTAGAAGCAACCATATCTAGTGTGGGCATGGATCGGATACCTATCCCGTGCACCATTTGGCTGATCCAACCGGTACCTTGTGGGTCAGTCATTTTCGAATCCTTACCCGTTCTGCATATCAATAGGTATCCAATTGTAGGGTACCCGTTGAGAAAAAATCGGGTCAACGGGGTTCTGCCTTACCCCATTTATCATTTAATTCTTTCAAGAAAAACATTTATACTAATTTAATTTTGTATTTTTATTCATCTAAGATTTAATAAAGATTTTTTTTCAAAAAAGTCTCCTACCAAGAAACAAGCATGTGAAGAGAATACAGAAAAAAGTTAAAAATTAAAAGAATTCAAAATCAATAGAAGTTTGAATTAAGTAGCACATTTGTTTAAATATATGTTCCACATTAATTAAACTCTTTTCTATAAAACATAAGATCATGACCTCTACAAATAATTCTTGTAAATAAATTATAGTCTCTTATATTTGTAATACAATTTGTTCAACAGAATCGCTTATTTAGTGATAAAAATATTATTTTATAGTATGTGCATAAAAATAAAAAAATAAAATATGTATATGCAGGATGGGTTGGGTACCCGCGGGTTTTTATTTATGTGACCATAATCTGACCCGCGTCTAAGGGAGTACCGACCCTCTTTTGACCTGATCAAATAATACGGATCGAGTATCCTAATTTTCAGATCGAATCTGATTGGATATGGCGGGTTTTCGGATTAACGGGTAATTTTGCCCACCCCTAATCATATGTCAATTAAAATTAACCTACCTAACAATATCAGCCAATCGCTTAATATGAGTATAGTCAAACTGAACCATATAAGTCAAGTTTTATAAATACCAAACTGATCAAACAACATGGTAGGACAAGAATCTCCTAAGTTGTTCATGCTGATCAAACGCTTCTGAAGTGCTTTGGAAACAAGGTTAATGAAGCAGAAGATTGACTACACAAGTTATTATATGCTGTTATGGTGATAGTGGTAATTGATGTGAAGACGAGAATTTTTGTTCCACTATGGTTAATTGAAGATGATTAGCTTTGCTGTTTTTCAACATGAGATGATGATTGTCAAATTGACGATGGATGGTACAATGTTAGATGAGATCATGGAAGTGGAAAACATAAGATGATGGTGGATGTTGATTGAGGATGTGCCAACTCTTGCATGGCAGTTAGGTAATGAGCTGAGGTAACATTGTGTGAAAGCCTGAACTGGCAATGGTTGCTTGTTAGAAGCCAAGAAGAAACAATAGAAAATAAACAAAGGAAAATATGTGATGAGCAAGAGGCTCAGAGTTGGTTAGCCTTTCTCTGAAGAAGGTGCAAAAAGAATTTCATGATGCAAGTAGCCAAGTAGTAATGGCAACGGGGCGGGTTTGGGGCAGGGATCCCTCCCCCGCCCCGTTGCCCACTACTTCCCCCGCCCCGCCCCCGATTTCTTCGTGAGGTTAATAAAAATTTATTATATAATTTTATTGTAGTCAAATTTTAGCAAATAATTAAGTACTAAAATATCAACATATCATCAAGTCATTATTCATTATAATTTCACAATTGAAATCCATAAAAACAATCAAACAAAAACTATTTGAATACAATCCAACATAATAAAAAAAATACAACTAAAGTAGTCAAGTTTTCACTTTTGTAATAAATACAATCACTAAATCATTATTGTATTTTTTTTTAGAAAAAGTGTTAATATGTTCAGTGTAATTAGGAATTTAGTATAAATATATTAGTAAATTTAGTATAACTAATTATTAATTTCTATTAGTATACATATATAATTGATAATATAAATTATATTAAAAATATTAATATATATTATATAATACTTATAATTAATAATATCATTATTATAAGTTCGTAACCAATTAAATTAAATATTATATATATACATATATATATTTGCGGGTGGCGGGGCGTGGGATGGGGCGGGGTTCCATTCAGTTTCCTGCAAATTATACACTACCACTCCCCGGGTGAAAAATTCCCCCTGTCCCATTAACCTCCCGTGTGCACCAGCTCCAATTGCCATCCCTTAAAATGTCGGCTAAAGAGAGTCATTTTTTTGCATCAAGAAATTTTGGGTTCAGATATATGCACATAATTATGTCCTGGTTCTTGTACCATGGCCGTTGAGTATGATGCCATGAAAACTAGACTATCTGAAAACATGTTCAAAAGTATTTGAAAGACAGTTTCCCAAAAAGCAAGAATCTTGGATTCAGCATTTCGTAAATCAACTTTTAACTCGTATACCAACAAGCCAGAGGCAATGTCATGTCAATTAAGCCCTTGAAATCACTACATCCTCAAATCACAATTACTGGAGTCTGCGCCTATTCCACTAGAACGAGCAATTTGGAAAAAAAACAAAAAAAAAAAAAAGGAATACTGTACTTGTCACTTGCCAGATGCAAAAGTTGTTAAAAACACAGCCATACAAGGCTTGGAGTGAAGGACATTAAACGTGATACCTGAAGATGTCGCATATATCGCTTTTCATATCCCAGTTCATTCACAATAGGCTGCAAAGCCTTTGTTAACTGGTTAACTGAGTTTGAGAACCTACAAGATTTAAAGTGTTTGTCAGATAGTCTCACAGTTAGGGTTAGAATAGTCCCTCTTCCATTTCACCCACTTCCTCTCAACCAAAGAAAAAGATGTAGATAAAGAAACCAATCAAACAATATCTGATAGTTCTACTCGAAAAGTAAAAATTGCGCAAGCAACCAAAAGATGATAAAATCAAATTTCCAGAAATAGAGGCAAGAACAAAAACAGGACTCATTGATCATGCCACTTTAGGAAACTAAACAATTTTTACTGTGCATTTGTCAGATTCACATGGAAAGATTGGAGACACTCATGAGAAACATGGTCCTGCCAGCTAAGATTACTAAACTGCCCAAAAGAAATGATAATGGATTAAACTGATAAACCTTTGTGGATGTTTATCATTTTTTAATCATTATTTTGAAAGTGTGGTATCAACATTGCCCATGCGAATAACTTAGAGTTTTTCGCTACTATAATCATCTTAACAAGGATCCAGAATTCAAGAAGCAACTTACTTTTCACTGCTGCTAGCTTCTATTTCTTGAGCAGGCAACGCTGAATTCTTCTTAGCATCTTGGTATTTCTTTGATATCAGTCCAAGTTCATTTACCTGGAGGAAATTGGCTTCAATAACTGGTTTTTTGCATGAATGTGATGCTCTACATTTTGCACAAAAAATATGGAGTTCTTTTTCTTTCTCCTTTCGCTTTTGCTTTCAATAAAAGAGACAAGCCCAATAGATACATATTCAACTTGCTTAAAGCATTGTATGGATTCGTGTAAACTTTCTGTTCAGGCATTTTCAATCTTTTTGTTCGTTTTTAATTTTAGACTGATAGATCAAGGTATTCCAGGTAAACTATTAACTCAGGTGAAAGCACTTTGCTTAACTGGTTTGATAATTTCTTTCAAGCATCCACTCAATTAGCTCCTCATAATTTGTCCATTTCAGGAGTCTATCTATTACCACCAAAAAAAGAAAAAAAGCTAGAACTTTTCTACAAGTATCACTCCACCTTCCCATACAGTTTGAACAAAATGGATTTATAACATGATATTGCAACACTAGAAAAGGAAATAATTATTACCAGGGGGAGAAGTTCTTTTCTTGGTATAAGCTCATCGTGATGTTGAACACAGAAATCCCATGAGCAAATCTACCACATTAGGAAAAGTAAGAGATTTCAGTGACTAATAATCAGGTAATAAGTTAATATGCTATATTTTTTTTTTTCTAAAAATACATAATGATTCTTCAGTGGAATGGGGAAAACCACAATGGATGTTGGCATTTGAAGATGTGGAAACAAGACTCTTGAACATGGAGTTACATTTTATTCCCTAGAAGTTGAGATTCTTCTGTATAAAGGAACAAGAACAAAATCTTCTTTAACCTTTAAGTCTGGAGAAAATGCAACTCTAAGCCGGCCTACATGATACACATGTAGTTGCTCAAACACAGTCTCATGTGTTACTTTTTCGCATTGCAGGACAGTTTGATTGCTTGAATATTTGTGCTCGATAGGCATCTCCAGATGATAATGCTCTTTTATGGCACCATTCTCGTACTTGACTTTGAACAGCCTTGGTAGTATTTCAGTAGTAATATCTGTTACATGATAAATGGGAATTGAAGAGTTAAAAAAATTGTGAAAATTATAACTGGCATTCACTTAAAATTCCTAAATTGAAATTTGCATAAGCCCATATTGCTCTCTTCTCTTCTTTGTCTATTCACTGTAGAAGCTGCTCCTATATTAGTGGCATACAAAAAGGTTGTTTTAGCAGCTTTTACAGGTGATCAATTATGTCTATATCATGGTTCAAAGTAGCAGTCGCGGTCGTGGCTCGGATCATTCTACATCAGCCTCGGTATATCGGTCACGATCTCGGCAAGACGCAAATTAATTTTAAACCATTTAATATTCTAAAAATTGTGAATAATATTCAAAAATATGCTAAACAAAAATAATAAAAAAATTAGCAAAAGAAAATCTGTAAAATGTAAATTTACGAGTTGACTTGAGATGACTCGGACCGACTTGGCCGAGACTATCTGTATTGGAGATTTCTCGGCTGAGTTCTTAGTGACTTGACCAATTTCTCGGTGATCTATGTATCTCGAAATCATCTCATCCTGGTATCAGAACGGAGAGGCCCGTTCCGATGATGACTCAGTCGAGTCATCCCAGTCTTGGCCAAGACTTTGAACCATGGTCTATATTGCACTGAAATCTCATGTTTCTGTCTACAATTTTAATTGATTCCTTTTTCTTGTTCATTCACCATTATTAGTACCAAATTTTAAGCATTTTCAATCTCTTTAGAGGAATGTAGAAGAGAAAAACTCTAACAATAAAATGTTATTCGCATATTTGCAAATCATTTATGTGGTTTCATTCTTGTCCATTACCAAATTTCACATTGGACAAGGAAGCAGATAACCTGAAAGATATAGACTGTACGGGGGTGGTTCTAAAAGTTTGAAGCAAGGCAAAAAAGGAAGCACAACGGGAGATAAATGTGAAGCACAATGACCAGTAACCTACCAAAACCATGACCAGGCGTTACTTTGCATAAGTTGCAAATCCACTCCCCCTGCAATAAATGAAATAATGGCATGTAAGGATGATGTTTTATCAGCAATATTAAATATTAAATATAGTCTCAGAATATTAAATGTAATCTCAGAATATTAAATATTGATTGCATAGGGAAATCGTTAAGCTTAAATCTCATTTCTATATAAGAGCATCTTCCACTACCCAGAATCTCTGATACCTCACCCACAAGAAAAGGTATGGCAAACAGACCTTATCAACAACGCGATCAGGTTTTCTGCCATATGAAGAAACACACAATCTCTTCTTGACATCAGGGAGAAAGAACTCAGCTACAAAGCTTCTCCAAAACTCAATGTTGTTGTCCTGTTTAATTATGTTTGATCAAACTCTTAAGCTTTGTAGAATAATAAATGGAAATAATTCATTTTGGCTTCAATTATATATACCTGAGGCCTTAGCTGCATCTGCCTTGTGTAGTTTGCCAATCGTAGAGCACACATCCCTGGTTTAGAGACTAACGTTCCTGAATCTTTTTTAACAGGCGCTTTGCCGGTTAGAACTTCTTGCTCCTTCAAAACTGAGGTATGAGATGGCTGAAAGGACATTGGGAGGTATCGCTGCTTCTTGTGTAGTCGATCATCTTCTTGCTCAACTAAGTCAAAAATGCTTGTACATCCTGCATTTGCTTGCTCCTGTCCAACAGAAGTCGAATTTCTGGTAGGGTATAATACTTGTTGGAAATGATTCTGAGCTTCAACCATCTGACTGCTGGTTTTTCCCAAGGGATGTGACATCTGTTGGGAAGCATTTTGATCAGATGCTGTTTGATGAACCAATTTGTTGATCGTTGTTCCCGTTGCTGAATCATGAACCGACTTTGATTTCTCTTGTGGTTGGCCTGAATGTTGTCCCATCTCCTGTTGCTTCATGATTATCAACAGTAAACTGGACTAGCTGGCTGATTGAGAGATTCTTTAATCAGATTCTTCTTCCCTTTGGAAAAAGCTGAAACAGCAAACATGGATATCACGCACATTGAATAACTGTTGCAGATGAAGAGGAAATGATGATCTCTATAACTGCATAGGTAGATTTATGTGTTAAATATGCCAATGCATCAGATATGCAGTGTAATCCAAGATTCACCACAAATCAAACCAAATTAGATATCCCATTTCAGTTCTCCAGTTTTTGTGGAGACGAACAGAATTTTTTAACCGGCAATTCAACCAAATTCAGGACTGCCATTTTCACTTCAGATTCTAAAACCAATGTAGTTGAAAAAAACATTAGGAACTTCTAAATTCCGGATATAACTTCTAAAACCAATCTTCTCTGAACTGGAAAAAAGAAAAAGGAGAAGATCACTAGCTACAGTCCATAAATTACTATCATCTTAAAAGCCAAAGACAAGTTAAAAATCATCAATGCAAACACAACTAGTTTTGAGCTGGTCTTCCACCACTTGCATCTCAATGCGTTTATGCGTACATACCTGCTGCTAAACCCGAGTTGGAGATATGATTTCTTGGTTTTGTTTAAAGAACAACTTAATGAGTTCTGGTGGAGTCTTCAGTCTTCAATCTTCATAGCTGTTCGTTGGATTCTGACATTAATTAGAATCCAAATCTTTGCTTGTTTCCATTTTGGTATTGGTAATGATTAAATTTGTGGAAGATGACGCATGAATTTTAGATTTTCTTTAAGATTCCATATATGCTTTTGTAACGGATGCAATGCACCCGTTGTAACTACATGACAACAATTTTTATGGTTGTTTTCACTATACCCCTCAAAGTTTGGGGTACTTTCTTTTGTTCCCCTCACCCCTTTTTTTTCTAATGATTCTAATTATAATCCAAAAAATATAGATGAAAAATTAAACTTCACACCCACTTGAGCTCATTTGTTTCATGTTATCCATCTACACACACACACACACACAAAAATATATATATATATATATATATATATATATATGTATATGATTAATTTTCTATACACTGTATACATTTTCACTATTAGATGCATGACACATAATCCAAATTCAAATTTTGCATATGTGTCGTATATCCAACCGTGATATATAATGTATACACCGTCAGTGTATATAAGATTTTTCTAGAGAACAAATTCCGGAACACAATAGATATATAAAAGTCAAGCATTTTTCCTTTTGTCTTGTTTTCCAGCGTTTTATTTTTTGTTTGAGTGCAAATTGTTTTCTCCACCGGGCATGTATCCATTTTTTGTGTGTATGTGATTAAATTCTTTTGCCTGCCTCAGTCTATTATTCTTTGAAAGTGTAATAGTTCTTTTTTTTTTTTTTTGGGAGCTAAAGTGTAATAGTTTAGTTTTACTCTTCTTTATTGATAAGGCTAAGTGAACAGTAGTTGTTTCAAATTGGGATTGCATACCATATACATTATATTTAGGTGTGTTGAAGTAAAAATACGTATCTACTGAATTAAATTCAGAATATAATGCAGATTCATTAAATACAGCAATGATTAATGTTAGTTATAAGTGGTGAATACATTCATTTGAAAGAAGATAAGTAATATGTAATGCCGTTTTATGTTTAATACAGTATATAATTACAAATGAAATTTTGAGAAAAAAAAAATATAATTACAAATAGACTCTAACTTAAACGCTTCGGTATTGGAGGGTAAAGTGTGAGGAGAAACACTATTTGAATTACTAGAGAGAGATTGAATTTCTGAGAAATTTGATTGGAATATATGTTCCTTTGTTGCCTTTCCAAAGATAGAATGATCGAAATAAAATAATGTGTTATTCCCAAAAGAATTACTTGTTTAGAGTAATAATATCCAAAAATTTTTATTTTCTGATGAAGGGTATGTGTGTGTGTGTGTGTATATATATATATATATATATATATATGAAACTCCATAAAATAAAGGAATAACCAAAGAATTACCAAAAATAACTGTCTACTAGAGTTAGAGATGTATCTTTTGTATTATCATAGCTTCAAAACTTGGTTTTGAAGCCAAAAAAAAAAAAAGAAAAGATGTTGGGATTATGAAGTCTGTTTGACACAAGAATAGACCATCCATCCTAGTCCACAAGCTCAACCTATAACCTAATTCAATCCTTCTATCGAACCAGAATTTTATTCCGTTGAAATCATCCTGGAAAAACTTATTGCAAACTCGGAGTTACTTGGTTTTTGCTATTCAAGACTTTGCCAAAACTATAGAGCCAATAGTGTCGCAGATAGATGTACTAGATTTATTAATTTATGATAAGAAACACCAAGAATTATCCCATCCAAAAATGTCAATAATTTTGTCACAAAGATTGATTCGTACTGAAACCTATATGATATGTCTTCACTACGAAGTTCACTAGTCCAGAAACTAATAGACTACCTCTTGACATATTACTCCATTGAAGGCTACTTTTTTTTTTTTTTTTTTTTTTTTTAATTGAGAGTAAAGAAATTTTTTAAAATTGGATTAACATCGTTAATAATCCCTTCAGTACGGGTATACTAGAAATGTTAAAATTGGAATATTTGGCATTAGGTTTCTATCAATTACTTACTCTTTTGCATATAGAGTTAAACTCATTCACATGAAAGAAACTTGTTGGCGCCGTTTGATTAGCTATTTTTAGGGTTGTTTTTAAAAAACAGCACTGTAGCATTTCGTTTTTGAAACATAGTACAAAAATGTTCCGTGCTGTTTAGGTTTAGGGTTTATATACTGTGGCCTATACAAAACATTTTGTAAACCCCATTGAAATTAATTAAAGCATAATATTTGGTACAATAATTTGTTTTCTTGGACAGAGTACAATGGTTCATGTTGCAAGAGAAAAAGTATCAAAATGACGTCAGCATCAGAAATATTACAGTGCTCAGATAGTGTACATATATGTGTATGTTTATAAGTTTCTACGTACTCTAGTTGAAAAAAGAAAAGAAAAAAAAGGACAAAGACAAGTTAAAAATCATCAATGCAAGCGCAACTAGTTTTGAGACTATTTTCAAGGTCTTGTTTGATAATTCAATTCAACATTTAAATTTAATGAATTCAGATTTTTACATGTTTCGATGCATTTGATAACTAAAAATTGAACATCTGAATTCATTACGTGGCACTAAATTTTCTAAACAAAACTTGCTTTAAAAAATAACTAATAAACTATTTACTTATTACTTAATATGATATACATGTATGATTTAACACTTAATAATTCACTAATTTAATGGATTCAAATTTCAGATTTCAGTTTTATCAAACTCTCCCATAATGTGTTTATGTGTACAACCTATTAAATGTAATCTCTTCGGATGTATTTTTTTGTTTTGCTGTAGAAACAACTTGCTGAGTTTTGGTGGAATTTTCGGTCTTCATAGCTATTAGTTGGATTCTGGGGTTAATTAGACTTCAAATCTTGGCTTCTTGCCATTTTTGGCATTAGTAATATGATTAATCTTGCCTGCACTACATTGTGTTAACGTTGGACGAATGATAATTATGCAAAATTTGAAATTTAAATTCAATTTTTACACATATATCATGAATTCAATGATGATATTATATATAAGATTTACTTTACTCTTGATAATAATTAAATTTGTGGAGGATGACACATGAATTTAAGATTGTTAGACGAGTTTCCGTATTTGCTTTTGTAACGGATGCAACGCATCTGATGTAACTACATGATGACAATTTTTCATGATAATTACAAAGTACATTTCACAGAATGAGACGTATAAATAAGTTATCCAAGTATCAGTAAATGAAGCATTAATTTACAAATGTTTACAACTTCTTTTCCTACCAAAGGTCACAAAATTGAAATTCCAAGAGTGCAATTTTTTTTTTAATCTTTCTTCGATAACGTATTACAATTCCAAGTCTAAAAGGCCTTGCTTTTTTTTTCCACTTTTTTTTTTTTTAGTTTGGTTAAGGGTGAATGCAAACTTTATAAGGTGAGAGAAGAAGGGAGGGCTTGATATGAACCAAGAACCGAAATACATGCCTTTGGGGAAAATTGGAAGCTAGAACAATACTAGAAGGAAGAGTTAATAAACAACAACTAGTAAATAGAAATGCTAACAAGGGTCCGATTGGAAGATATATATTGGGTGTTTTTGGGAAGGTGTATTTTTTGGGTGTTTGTATAAACTTTACTGTAGCTTTATAGAAGGAGTAGAAAAAACTTTTGTGTTTTTAAGGGTTTGGGAAAAATTTAAAAACTTTCTTTTTTTAAATTTTTTCCCTTTTCCTTCTTTTTTTCTTTTTCTCCCCCTCCCTTTCTTCTCTTCTTCTTCTCTTCCTTTGCTCACATAGCAACCTATGGAGTTTCTGGTGGAGGTGCCATCAACAGCCCCCGCCTTCTTCATTGACCAAAATTCACTAAAATTTAACTCTTCACTCTATTTTTTGCATAGATTCTATCTCCAATATTAGTTTTTAGAAAAAAAAAAGAATAAAAGTTGATTAAAATTTGAAGAACATTTGGTAGACAAAGTTTTTTTTCCCCTCTCTTCCCCCTTCTCCTCCCTTGCTCCCTCCCCTCTCCCACGAATCTCCCTCCCCTACTACGAGAAGGAGGGGAAAGCGGGTAGCTAGAGAAAGGGGGAAGGGAGGGAGGAAAGAGGAGGAGGAGGAGAGAGAGAGGGAGGAAAAAAAGAAGAGTCGCTGGTGCCAGCGGCGGCCAATGATGGAGGCCGTGGTAGACTAAGGTGTAGAGAGGAAGGAGTAAGAAGAGACAAAAAAATTTTTTGTGTGTTTTTGAGTATTTGAGGAATGTATTTAAAAAATTTTGGAAAGTTTTTTGAAATTAATGTAGTTAAAATTGTTTAAAAATTTTGTAGAAGAAAAATTAGGCAAAAAACTTGCCTTCCAAACAGACCCACGGATATACAAGCAAAAAAAATTTATTT